TCTACATGACCTTTGCGTTATTAATTACAATACTTTATGTTGTAGTGTACATACAAGTAGTGTTCTATGTTTACCACTTTATTGTTTGCAGCAGTTCATTCTTTTATTCTTCCATTATTCCAAGTACTTCTGTTGCTTTATGGCATTTTCCAGTAAGCAGCTGTATAATTCGTGACTTTGCTCGATACATTGCAGATATATGCTTTTAAACTATTAATTAGAAACACACTCTTTTTTGGAATATATAAAAACTGTCACAATATGTATTGATATAGCGATCGAGAACAGAATTAAATATATAGTTAATGTATGTATGTAGAGATTCTCTTACTAGAAGTCATAAAAAGAAAGAGTTGAAAAGTAAATGTGGTAATAATAATATTCACCATGCAAGGAGAGTGAATATTATATTGTATTATTATTATATTATTATTATATTATTATTGTATTATTATTATATGCCTTTATATTAAAGTGTATATTTTATATTAAAACGTACATGAAATACAATTTATGAAGGAATTTCGAGATACTCGTAGCTTAACATAGCATGACATAACATAGCATATAGACAGTCATTGATATTTCGAGCCACAAAAGTAAAAATTTAACCATACCTTCTTTAGTAAATCTATCCTATATTTATGGTAACATTAAAACAAAACTTAAAAGTGGCCAATAGAATATGTAATATTTCAAAGGTAAAGATATATAACTAAAGATCAGAATTCAGAGCTATAACATTATTGAATCTCCAATCGCAGTAGGGCGCACCTCACGATGTCAATATTTAAAAGATAAGCAATCGCCTTACTATTATAAAAAGCGGTTTTGAAAACTATACTCACGCCATACCAAAACATTATTACACTTTACATACTTTACATGTCCCCAAACTGACCATAAACTATCTCCATTCCCAAATGGAAATAAAACATGTACGTATTATTCTATTTATGTGAGCAAATTTATGTAAAATATACTTATGTTAGTGAAATATTTTTACAAAGTAGTAGAAATAAAACAAAGTGAGTTCATCGTCAGCTATTTCATATAAATTCCAAAAAGTATCTTAAGTGTGACATTTTTATGCTTCAATAATTTATATGAAATGCAACCATTTCATTTACATAATTTACAGTGAATACTTCAGCGTTTTACAAAATTGAATAGTTTTTTTTTCTGAAACAGTACTCCAATAAATTCTTATATTCACTACTGAACTATGCATATAAACTATAGTGTATTAAGAAAAAATAAAATAAAATTCAAATTTTCTCTCGCATGCTTAAGTTTCATGGAACTAAGCATTAACATTTTAGTAGATGAAGTCATCTCCAGAGACCGCCTTAATTTAAATTCGATTTTTTCTTAAAACATTTTCGTGAGAAAAAAAAACTCATTTTCACATTTTAATGGATGGGTGGAGGGCAAGTAATCATTGAAGCGAAATTTATGCAAGAAATCTTAAGGGTTTCGTGAAAATCAGGTTATTAGAAAGTTCCTCGTTATAGAAGCTGCTTGGAAGAAAATATTACAAGTTTAAGTATTCATTTTATGCCGAACTCAAATTTTTATGTCAACCTCAGCGTTAATATAATTTGCATACATAATAAAAATATTTTATATATGTATATATATATACCTTTTTTTTTTTGAATTTTAATTTTTAGTAATATTTTACTTCAGATGTTAAGACATTTGGTCAAAATATGAAATATGTTAACGTAAATGCTCTTAAAACAATATCATTGTAAAGTAGTTTATGGTAATTCATCTTTGCGTAGTATTTAGAAATGCATCATTCGATTTACAACGTCTAGTTAACTGTATCACTTACAAGTTAACAAAGCGCTCTTCAGCATCCATTAAATACCATTTATGGCAGAATGAATTCATAAAACGATGCATAACTGTGCAAATGTGTGGGAAAATGAATAAAAAATCAGTGATAATATTCAATGATAATAAAGTAATCAGTGATAATATTGTGATTGAATACATTATTACACTATTGGCATTGATAGCTATCTACGAACAATACTGCTAGTACTGGTATAGCGGTTGTATACGCGTTATTCTTTCTTCTTATCTTTTTAGCTTCGATAGGTTCTGGAGTTTTTATATTAACCCTTTGGGAAAGTGTCCATATACACATTACCTCCTTAGGAGTATTACTCCTTTCAGTATAGGAACAGTGCAACTAGTTGTCTTTTAAAGATTTGTTTGGAGAATTTTTTATTCCATGTTAAGCATATTCATGTGTTTTTTCCGAAATTTTCTCCTTTTTCGCGTCTTTTTCACGTTGGCTTTTTTATCAGATTTTTCATTTATTAATTGCCTAAATGAAGATAAAATCATATTTCTCTTCTCTTAAAAATGTATATAGTATATATAGTTCAACCAAACGGCAAAATACAGATCCCTCTAAAACAATCTGTAGTTCTAAGTAGCTATCTACGTTTACTATGATAGCTTAGCAGGTTAATGAAATAATATGTTGCTCAGTATTACGATTATTATTAATATCTTTAACTTTCTGAAACAGCCTTCTGCCGACTGTATTTGCCAAATCAACAAAATATAGTTCATTTATATGCTTCATTGACTTCCTCTTTTTCAACAGCCTATTTTTTGCTGTATTTTGACATTAAATTTATTTTATTTATATATAAAAGTTTATATAAAATCCATAAAAAAAAATATTGAGAAAAAAAAGAAAAAAAAGAAACTATTTTATATTGGAAATCAAATTTGACTACGAGACTCTATATTCAGTAAAATTTGACTACGCCAATCAATATGAATGTGTAGCTTCTCCATCGTTCTTAGTTCAGCTGATTCATGGTTATTTCTAAGCCAAAACATCTGTTTATGTCCTATACCGCATTTTTTTGCTATACTTCCTTTTAGTATCGGTTTGTAGTAGATTATACTTAGCACTATGAAGGAGTTGCTATAAACAAGAAGTCTTGCAGCATTTGATAGTTATGAGTAGTTTTGTAGTATTGACAGCATCATAGAACTTTTTTATTTGATACATGGTTGGTATAGAGTATTTTTAGTAAGTAATGGTAGCATTGCAATTCAAAAGCTTTTATTTTAATCATTGTCGCAAAAGTAAATGTCGTATTTAAATCCATATATATATTTATATACATATTTATACATACATATATATATATATTTATATATATATATTTATATATGTATTTATATATATATTTATATCCATAGTTTTATATTTAATTCATGGTTAGCTAAAAATTTTACAAATTTGTAGAAAGCATTTCTGGCCATCTCGATTCGACACTAGTGTTTTTATCTATAAAACTATTTTTCGTTATATGAAATGATTGATATTAAATTTAAAAAATTTTTAACATTTCGGGAATAATATTGAGTAATACATATAAAAAAACATTATTGAGTACATGTATAATAAAATGTTTAATCATAATAAATTCAGATTTTCAATTCTATTTTGCGGATTAAGCTAAATCAAGATTTTTTGATTTGTTGCTTTTTTTTATTATGGTTTAAGAGAATTGATATATTTTCTCATCGTAACTTCCTTTCACTTTTAATAACTTATGTGATTATTTTAAAAACGGAAAACGTATCTTAATATTGAGATACGTTTAAATCTGTTAGAATTTTACAATCGTTACTTATTTATGTCTAAACTTTAGTACGCAAGTTTCGGTCATGAAAGTTACGACTTAAAACTGTTTATTTTTATTATTTTTATTTTATTACTATTTTTAATGGAATGAAATATTTATATATTTTTCAAATTTTATAACTAGAGCAGAAATGAAAATTTTTTTATTAATTTATTTTATTATGCACGTTATGTACTTTAATTCGTTATTTCATTTCTTTTCTATTTTTATTTATTGTGACATAAATGTCATTTTATGATGGGAACTATTGTCAATCACTACACAAACATAACAAAGCATGGCTCTCAATATTTAATAATTCAGATACACATAAAAGCGAATGCCATTCCAATCCATAGTGCATGCAAGCCACCGTCGTCAACCTTGTCAGTAAAACTTACTACAAAAGTAAAAATCTTGGACGATATTGTGACTTCGACTGAAGTCACATTTTAGTTTCACGTGCGGAAATCACGTAGTTTACGTTGCGGATTATTTCCAGCTCCTTTTATTGTATTTATTCTTCCTTAAACACGCACACATGCTAACAGCACTATAAGGACGAAACACATTCTTTTTAACAATCTAGGAAATTGCATGTTTGTTCATTCATAAAGTATAAAAAATCAGACAAATATAACACATAAATACTTAAGTAACATATACTCGCATAAAGTGGTCTTATTGCTGAATTGGTAAAGTTGCTTATAATCTGTTCACTCATTTAACGCATCACTTGCTATAGCAGCAACAACAACTATATATATACCATATATAAAAAAAAGTATTGCTGTGTTGCCTTACAAAAAATGCTCATTCAATGTGTCAGTAGTTCATGACAAAGAGTGGTAATTGAATTAATTTAAGTTACAGGGTTGTCCAGGTTGTCGCAGGTAACAGCGAAGCAATCATCTTAGATCGCCTATCACCCAGCACACAGTACTCAATAGCAGTGACGGCCATTTGGCTTGGTAAAAAGTACCGCAGCAGGCAAATAATATTTAGAACACTTGGTAAGCATATAACCGAAATCTTTTGTGAATACTATATATATCGTATGTGAAATCTTAATTAATTTGAATTAGTAAATATTGATATATTTTTTTTCTTTGGAATTTTTTAAAGATATGCCAAAACCTGCTCTACAACAAGACTTCTCAGCGGCATCTAACTTAGGTGCAGGCAG